TAAAAGAAATTTTGATATCCCCCATAATTTGGGGGCTACATTTAAAATTAACTTTTCGATTTAAAAAATCTAAACCGCTGCTCCGATCAAGATGATTTTTCGCTCAATAGTTATTCTATGGCCCAAATGCTAAAGTTTAATTTTTCAAGTTTTTAACATTTTTTTAAGTATTTTTAACGAATTTATTTAGATTTTCTAAGTCATTGCGTTGTATTTTGCGGGAGCCTGTCGAGAGAACGAAACCCAGAAGCCAAGAGAGCGACGGCCGAGAGAGCAACAGCCAAGAAAACTGATGAGGGGGAGGGGTAGTGCTGCTGGGAAAGGGGAGGGGAAAGAGGCAATTTAAGTTAAATTTGTTTAGGATTTTAAAAAGTTAAACTGCTGCTCCGATCAATATGATTTTCGATCAATAGTCAGTCCTGTGGATCAAATGCTTAGGTTTTATTTTTCATTTTGTAGCAGAAGTAAGAGCCTTATTTAATTTCCACCATGGAAGAAAATAGAAAATTACTACAAATTCTGTAAGCAAAGCCAAAATGTTTCCAAGTTAAATATTAATCTTAAGATTCGAACTTTTGACCAAATACGTATGTACATATGTATATTTGGATATGTTTTGATTTGCTTATATGTACAATACATGTACATACATACAATGTGTGTGTATATTTCTATTCGAAAGTAGATAATGTGCTTAAATACAAATAAAATGATTTATTATACCCGTTTATCGATCAAATGTGGAATCTGAAAATAATACGTTTCTTTGCTGTTTTTGTATTGGATGCCAATCTTTTACTGTGTGTACAAAGGTTTTCGTTTCATTCAAAACAAGAAATTTGAAAACAACAAATTCCAATTTACAAACAAGTATACATATTTGTGCGCAAATTAAAATTGCATTGATAACATTGTAACTGATAAAAAGTATACAAGCACACGACTTTTACTTGGATCACTTTCATCCCTAAAGATTATAAAATGAAAGACCGATTTTTAAGGGGATACGGCCACAGCCCAAACCGTAAGAGCAAGAGCAGCCAAATTTGTTCACAGTATTCCATTGGGGGCGTGGGCGCCCACTAAGATCCGATATGTCCCCCCAGTGGCCCCAAACAGCTCCAACATCCATTATTCTGAGCAAAAAAAAGTTGATGTATTCAAGCTTAACTTCTAAAGTGGTTGGAATTTCGATATTTGGTTTTTTCCAAATTTTTGGTTTTGAAAAGGCCTAATTAGAAATCAAAAAGAAATTTTGATATCCCCCATAATTTGGGGCTACATTTAAAATTAACTTTTCGATTTAAAAAATCTAAACCGCTGCTCCGATCAAGATGATTTTTCGCTCAATAGTAATTCTGAAACTGATGAGGGGGAGGGGTAGTGCTGCAGGGAAAGGGGAGGGGAAAGAGGCAATTTAAGTTAAATTTGTTTTGGATTTTAAAAACTTAAACTGCTGCTCCGATCAATATGATTTTCGATCAATAAAGAGCCTTATTTAATTTCCACCATGGAAGAAAATAGAAAATTACTACAAATTCTGTAAGCAAAGCCAAAATGTTTCCAAGTTAAATATTAATCTTAAGATTCGAACTTTTGACCAAATACGTATTTACATATGTATATTTGGATATGTTTTGATTTGCTTATATGTACAATACATGTACATACATACAATGTGTGTGTATGTTTCTATTCGAAAGTAGATAATGTGCTTAAATACAAATAAAATGATTTATTATACCCGTTTATCGATCAAATGTGGAATCTGAAAATACAACGTTACTTTGCTGTTTTTGTATTGGATGCCAATCTTTTACTGTGTGTACAAAGGTTGACTTTTTATCGGGCCAATCCGATATACGCGACTTACACGTTAAGTGGCAGCTCTTTGGATAGAATAACTCTTGTAAACGATCTTGGCGTTCTCTTGGACCCTAAACTAAAATTTTCTAATCACATTTCGTCCATGGTTAATAAAGCCAGAGGAGTGCTTGGATTTATTAAAAGGTGGTCAAAAGAATTCGATGATCCTTATTTGACTAAAACTTTATTTATTTCGCTAGTCCGTCCGATTCTGGAGTATGGGTCTCCCGTCTGGAGTCCACAATACGGGATACATATTGGTCGTATTGAATCTGTACAAAAAAACTTCCTTCTTTTTGCTTTACGGCGCCTAAACTGGGATGCAAATCTTATCTTACCTTCTTATTCTAGTAGACTTCTTTTGATTAATTTACCATCCCTAGCCAACCGTAGAACGATGCTTGGTACTATCTTTATTTATAACCTTATACATGGTGATATTGACTGCCCCGACTTGTTAAGTCGGCTAAACTTTTCTGTGCCAAGTATATTAACTAGAAATTATATTCCCCTAATTTTAAATCATTGTAGATCTAACTATGCCTTGCATGAGCCTTTCAGAGTATTATGTTCTGACTATAATAGACTTTTTCCTGTAATATCAAATCTTGACTCTCTGCCGCTCCTAAAACGATTAATACTTGCTTCATTGGCACAAGATTGATCTAACTATTACTTTTTTCCCCGGACCTTTACCTTTATTTTCCTATCTCGCGTCTATCCTATCGCGAATCGTGCCGTACGATACACGGCTGCGCCCCTCGGTCGGTTGGGCGGGTAAGTGGGCCGTGGGCCGTGGGACTCCGCGCGAAAAAAAAAAAAAAAAAAAAAAAAAATAATCCCTTTGTTAAGCGCTTTAACCTGAAAGGGAAACCATAGTCCTCCACAACTTGTACATATTTTACTAGGACCCATCTTTATATTATTTAAATAGGTATTACGTGCTCCAGATCGTCTAATTTATCCTTGTAGCTCTCTTTGTTCAATCTGTTCTTCGGGAGACAATCTAGCTCTCGCATCAATATTTCGCTGGGATTGTCTTTGAGACTCCGCTGCACGATTTTGTGAATTACTTCTATAGTTTATAACTCGAGCCTCATTCATTTGCCTGACCTGCTCTACCATTATGCAGGTTTGCTGTCGGGTCATTCTTCTTTGCGATGAATTTATCCTTTGCTGCTGGCTTCTCCTTGCATGATCACTCCTTGCCGTCCGATGCTATTCTGCATCTCGCTGACGGTAGTCATTTCTATAACAGGGACTTTGCCTTCTAATGGTTTGCTCCCTGGTATTTCTCTCCTGTTCCATTATTCTATAATTCTCGAAAGAGCGCATCAGAGCGTGACGCGCAGCATCCTTTTCGCGTTCAGACTCTCTATAAGTCTGATCTTCCCTTCTTATGGCATGCTCCCTAGTATTTCTTTCCTGAGCCAATATCCTATATTCTTCCGAAGAACGCATTAAAGCGTGGCGCGCAGCATCAGTTTCGCGCTCAGACTTTCTTTGGGTGGGGCTTTCTCTTCGAATGGCATGATCTCGGAATACCGTGGATCATGCCATTCGAAGAGAAAGCCTGCTCGAATTGCGAACCTACGATTTCGTCTGCATAAGAAATGAGCTCGGGAAGCGGATACGCAAGGCAGAGAAGAAGAACGCTCGCAACTGTGCATTTCGCGAGCGCTTCCCGAGCTTCTGCCAATCGTTGTGAATTTCGGGAACCTACTTCATTTAAATTATCTCAATAAAAAGACTGACTTCGATTACTAATAGCGCGACGTCTTTGTTCCGCGGACGTGTTTCTTAGCCGCGGCATTTTGATAAAAATTCGTCCGAAATGTTTCTCAAATTTAAGATTTAGATTTTAAATATTAAAATTAGATAGATATATTATATAAATTCATATATATATATGATTATATATACGATATAGAAACTTATAAATATTACTGAAAAAAATGTGTAAAACTAATCTACAAGAAATATTAGGTTATGTCTACAAATGCAAATATTAAGCTAGAGCACCTATCTTTTGAATATGAAGAAGTTGATAAATCCAGATCCAATGCGGTTTCCAATGAAGTCTTGAAAAAGACTGACGAAAGCTTTAAATCGATTTTTTTCACACAAACACTTCACCACAAAACTAAACTCCAAGAAAAAGCTAAAATACGAGTATCGCAGCCCAATACCCCAACGTTTTTGTGAGAATCGAGGAGAACAGCACCTGCATCAACAAAAGTTCGATTAACATGGCCAAAAATCAGACAATTCCTTCAGGTTTAAAATACATGGCGCATACATAAAGCTTTTATGAGAATCGAGGAGGACAGCGCTGATAGAATCAAAACAAAATGTAAGAATGAGACAATTCCATCAGGTTTAAATAAAGCCTTTAAACGTATATATTAAAACCTTAAAAAATATATTACGATTGGAGCGAATCGAAAATTTTTTGGAATGTAGAATTTACAAATAAAACAACAGTGAGCGCTTTTTAAGCAGTTTTACTCTCTCTTTAAAAATGTGGTTGCCAGAGGTTGCTCCGATTTTTTATGACATTATGAGCAATTAGTTTGAAGAAAATATTTGAGTGTTAATAATCAAAATAAGATCTCAAGCGCTAGACTGACCTTTGCTTAGTTAACGCTTGTGGGCAATACAGTGGGCGTGGCACATTTGCATAACAATCTAAACTAGCTCCTGTAGGAAGCAAAGCTCGAGTAAAGAAAAAACTTGGCCAATCTATATATGTCCTAGAAGACATGAACGGTAAAGAGCTTGGTAATTTCCATACCAAGGATATTTGGTAATTTACACTGACACCTTTTTCAGTTTTGATTGTTAAGCCTAGTATCCAGATCGAAGAAAACCGTACGCCAGTCATGAGAGAGAGCGAGAGGCAAACAGCTGGCGTTCACTTTTCGTCGGGCCTTTTTTTCACGTCGGTCCCCTGATCGACGAAAAAAATACCAGAAAATTCCATAGCGTTGCCAGTCTGCGGAAATGAACTTTGGGTGAACCCTAGCGAAAAGATTAAAAAATTTAAGCCTAGTATCCTGATCGACAAACGATTATGCTAGCGTAAAAACTTTAATCTTTCCAGTGTGACCAGAGTTTCGAGAGTTCATCCGAACTGAGCTTACTACGGTCTTACTGTCAATCAGCTGGGTTTGTTGACAAACAAAAAAGCAAACAAAGTTAAATGAAACGAAAATGTCGAGTTCAAAAAACACAAGCTTGATTTTGGTTGTCAGCATGGCGGCATGTATTGTGGCATTAGAGGAAGAGGAGAAAAGACAGCGGCCGAAATATTGGGTGAGCCCATATCTGCAGGAAAGGGCCCTTAAAGGCCGATATGCTTCCGACGTAAGTAATACTGTTCAATAATGTATTAATATTCGTGCACTAAAAAATATTTTCTTATCATTTTAAAGTTTCAAAACTTGTTGCAGACTCCCTCAATGTTTTTCGAAAACTTTCACATGCCTCAGAAGAGTTTTAACACTCTTTTTGGAATGGTGGAGCAGTACCTTATACCGAAACGGAACACTCGCCCAGATGCTATACCAATAAAAGCCAAGTTGGCCATCGTTTTAGAGTAATTAGATTTTAAATATTTAGTCTTAGATAACAATATATTTATATTTTGTATCCTTTTATTTAGATTTCTTGCCTCTGGAGACCTGCAACGCCACATTGGATCAACTTATCGGATCAGTAAGCAACATTTTGGAGTGATTCTCCTCCAGGTGTCTTTTGCCATTTGGACTGCTTTGCGAGATGAATTCCCCAAGTGGACGACGGGGAATATGCTGATGTGGGTTAAAGGCTTCGAAGACGAATGGAACTTTCCTAATTGTATTGGAGCAGTCGACGGAAAGCATGTGGCGATAAAAGGCCCGCCAAATAGTGGAAGCCTTTTTTACAATTATAAGGTAAGTACTTTTTAAATGCCAATAGAATTTAATAACAAAATCGTTTGTAATGTAGGGCTTTCATTCGATTGTGCTTATGGCAATCTGCAACGCTCACTATCGCTTCACCTACATTGATGTGGGGGCTTTTGGTAGCGAAGGAGACATGAATGCCTTCTCCCACAGCGATCTTGGCAAACAGTTGCTCTTAGACCAGCTGCCCTTTCCGGAGGACAATGTTATAAACGGCCATCGAACCCCTTATTACATTGTTGGTGATGATGCATAGTGAGGAGCTGATTTTTAACTACAGGCTAAGTCGGGCTCGTCGTTCCATTGAGAACGCATTTGGGATTCTCAGCGCTAGGTGGATGGCTGTACAACGAACTTTGTTAAGCAATCCATGCAAAGCTCAAAAAATCATTGCAGCCTGTTGTGCCTTGCATAATTTTTTGATGCGGGAGAGTCCAGCAACTTACTCGATGCAGGAGATACCAAGCACTGTCCTGACCGACTTGCGACCCTGCCGACGAGGTCGCCCACAAGACTTCAGTAAGGAGGTTCGAAACAACCTTAAAGAATATTTAAACGGAAGTGCTGAAAGTGTACCTTGGCAAGACGAGTCTGCCGGTGTGCAAAGAAATTAAAAAAACAATAAAAGTTATTTTGCAATGTTAAATATTTTTTATTTTTATTTTAACTGGCGTCTTTCTCCTCCCACAGAAGCCGGGTCATCTTCCTTTCCACTTCGGCAGCACGTTCCGGAGGAAGCGTGCTAAGAATCGATTCCCAGTAGGCAAACACCGGCCTTGGAGGAGTGGGAAGGGGAGCCTTTTGTTGCTGCTCCAGAAAGTTGCCCAGCATGTCGCACATTTTGGCTGCTGGTGTTTCCTCCACCTTTCGCCTCTTGGCGCTCCTTCTTCCTCCACCCTTTAAAAGTATAGAAATATTTCATAAGAAATTATATTATTTAATAGAAATTGGGCAACTTACATAGGAATACAGTTCCTTTTGGGCCTCAGTCAGCTCGACCTCCAGCTCCGCCTCCGCTTCCAAAAAGCCAGCTTCAACAGGGTCTTGAGTTTCCTCAATGGAGTAGTCCATTGCTTGTGCTCCGTCGCTCTCAGAAAACACAGAATGGGTTGTTCTGTTAAAAATAAATTATATTAGTATAATGTAAAAAAATTTTTGGCCAGAACCTACTGCCTCTGCGTGGATAAGTCCGGCAGGAAGCTCATGTAGGGGGCGAAATCCCACTCCGCAGCACCTGTTGGCTTCTCCAATGGGTCTCCTCCAGCACTTCCACTCTTTGGCTGCTTGCACTTGTGGTACTTGTAGCTGTCCCGTAGAGACTTCCACGCCAGCTTGCAACTATTATCTAAACATAAATATTGTGTATGTCCACGTTAACAAATATTTAATAATGTACAATTGTATCTTACCATCTTTGTCCATTTCCCAGCCTATTTCCTCCCACGATCTTTTTATAAATGTTGCATTAAAATGCTTTTTATTGAAGAGATCCAACAATTCTGGGCGCGACTCCACGTATCGAATTAATGCTTTTTTTTCTTCACTGCTGAACAACAACAACCGACTTTTACGAGTTTTCTGTTGTTTTCCCTCCATTTTTTTAAATTTCTGATGAGAAGCGCACGCCGAAAGATTAAATTTTTTATTCTTTTTGCTAGGGTTCACCCAAAGTTCATTTCAGGTGGTTGGCAACGCGATGCAATTTTCTGGTATTTTTTTTGTCGAACTGGAGACCTAAGTCAAAAAAAAGCTTCACGAAAAGTGAACGCCAGCTGTTTGCCTCTCGCTCTCTCTCATGACTGGCGTTCGGTTTTCGTCGATCAGGATACTAGGCTTTAATCTTTTGGCGTGCGCTTCTCACTGAACATTATAAGAAATGGAGGGAAAAACTAAAAAAGCTCGCAAAAGTCGATTGCAGGAGTTTACAATTGAGGACAAAATGGCATTAATACTATCTAGGGTGCCTCTTGTCAGAGCAAAATGTTTCTTAGGTCAAAAATGTACGAAAAAACACAATAAAAGTGCGGCTATAAACTTCAAATTAGCAAATAATTATCAGTAAATTAAAAAAAAAACAACTGTTAAATTTAAATTGGTATTGTTTTTTTATTTTTTTGTACAGCGCAGTTTTGTCTTGCCAAGGTAGTTGATAATATATTTTAAAGGCGCTTTCCCGCAAATACGATATTTGAATTTTAACTGCTTGTCAACAAGTCCAGCTGACTGACAGTACGACCGTAGCACGCTTAATTCTGATGAACTCTCGAAATTTTGGTCACACTGGAAAGATTAAAGTTTTTACGCTAGCATACTCGTTTGTCGATTTGGGTACTAGGCTTTAGTCGCAGGGACCAAAAATCAAAACGGTGGCAGTGGGAGCCAGTGAAATTTTAAAACTCATTTTGGTACTCTAAGTAAATATTACCAGTCTGACAACGTGAAGATCAGATCTTGACAAAAATACCAGATTAACAACAGAAATACCAGAACGAAAATCCCGCCTATGGATTTTGGACGTACTAAGTACACTTCATTAGCGCTGTTTCCGGCTGCATCTTTCTCTTTTCTGGAAACTTTTCCCGAAGGCAGTCGTTCGCTCTTGAAATTAATATCTCAGTTCATCCTGAAAACGTGCTAACCCTTTTTTAAAAGTAATTAGTATTTTTATAAGTGAATAGTGTCATATTTTTTGGTAAGCTTATTAGGACCCAAAGTCGGCCAATTTTAATTGCGTTTTCCTAGGAATTAGTCTGGTGTCTTCGTCGTGGTTCCCAAGACATACATAGTTCGAACACGAGGATATTTTTTCCAAGGCCCGGCTTTAAGCACGGCTATCGGCCAGGCGCCCGCTTGCAATTCCTGATCAACTGAACTTCGGCGTGCGCATCGAACGCATTTCTTGGAACAGCGTGTCGCACCTCGTATTGCCACGCTGTTGGATCAGGCGAAAACAGTCGCCGTCCACTGCAGAAAGTGTATTTTCTACCTTTGGAAATCTTTTGGAAACTTTCTCGTGGCACATTCTTCCCCGGATCTATCGAGAAGCTGCAGGCCACATTTCATCCCCACCAGGAGTAGTGGTTGTGTGCACCAAGCGTGCTTGAGCGTTGCGACACGTTCAAGCCTGTCCAGTTTCGCACCTCAATTGAAGAACATTAACAGCATGTTCAAGCGTGCTCATTTGCGGTAATAGTTCTGAGTATCGTAGATTTAGTTACATTTTCTTTTGTTTTTCGTTAAGAATATTTTACTCATTAACTTTACGACTCCTATTATAGTGTAAAACTTTGTGAGCAGTTCTGACATAACATTTATTCACATTTATAAAGTCTACAGCAACGCTTCAACAGTCATCAGGCCTGAGGACAACGTTGGATCCTGCGTAAGTACGGCATAGACGTCAACATTCCTATTCTCTTGTGAGTCTGCACACTCCTTTTTATACCCTTGCAGAGGGTATTATAATTTTGGTCAAAAGTGTGCAACGCAGTGAAGGAGACATCTCCGACTAGGGGTGCAGAAACATCGAGTGAAACATCGATAACATCGATGTTTTCAAAACATCGAAACCATCGATGGTTCGTGACCACCATCGATGTTGACACTTGCGACCCCTTAAAGTATTGGGAGGTATGATTTTCAAATAATTATGTCAAACATGTTAAGTAAGAAATATTTTTTACAGATGACAGATGACAACGAATTAAAATTGGTTGCAAAAAAATATTTCTGTGTACAAGCTTCGTCCTGTGAGTCTGAAAGGGTGTTCAGCAAAGCTGGACAAACTGTATCTGATCACAGAACAAGGCTTAAACCTGATGTTGTTGATCAACTTCTTTTCCTCAACAAAAATAGACACTTTAAATGATCTCAAATAAACCTCATTGTTATCGTTTGTACTGTTTTGGCCACGAACATCGATGTTTCTGCACCCCTATCTCCGACCCTATAAAGTATATATATTCTTGATCAGGATCACCTCCTGAGTTGATATAGCCATGTCCGTCCGTCTGTTTCTATGCAAACTAGTCTATCAAATTTCATAAGGATCGGCCGACTATATCCTATAGCTGCCATATAACTGATTGATCGGAAATGCCATAACTTTGATGTTTGTAAAGTTAGGAGGCTGGGATTTCCTATGGGTTTTATATTTGGCCAATCAATCCGACCTACCAAATTTCATAAGGATCGGCCGACTATATCCTATAGCTGCGATATAACTGATTGATCGGAAATGCCATAACTTTGATGTTTGTAAAGTTAGGAGGCTGGGATTTCCTATGGGTTTTATATTTGGCCAATCAATCCGACCTACCAAATTTCAAAAGGATCGGCCGACTATATCCATAGCTACCATATAACTGATTGATCGGAAATTAGGGTTGTCGAAAATTTTAAAAATATCGTATCGGTGGTATTTTTTTTATCAAAAAAAAAATGATAATATTTAAAATATCACATAAAAATGTCGATATATTTGATATTTTTTGTGTTAAATGAAAAAATTGACCGCCCACAATAAAAAGACAATAAGTTTCTTTTTAAAAAGAATAGTATTTTATTATACATATTTTATGACCAGTATGCAGGGTTTAGGGATTTTAATAACACCATTTGCGTTATGTGTGCGTCAGTCATCCTGCTTCTTGGGTCGCACACAACACATTTGATGGCCGACGCCGTTTTTTATATCCGTATAGTTTGATTTTACACTCAATTTTTTATTTCGCGCCTGAATTCTTTTAGTCGATGTCGCTTTGGAATTCAGAGTGACCAAAGACAAAAATATCAAAAAAAAAAATAGCGGAATTCCGATATTTGGGCAAATTAAAAATCACGATATAAATATATCATTTTTAGGAATAAATATCGATATATTGATTTTCTATGGGTTTTATTTTTGGGCAATCAATCCGACCTATCAAATTTCATAAGGATCCTATAGCTGCCATATAACTGAACGATTGGAAATGTCATAACTTTGGTGTTTTTAAAGTTACGAAGTTGGGATTTTTTATGAGTATTAGGAATGCATCATATGAATAATTTTGGAGAATATAATTTACCGAGAATTCTGCAAGGGTATATCAACTTCGGCTCCGCCCGAAGTTAGCTTCCCTTTCTTGTTATACTTTATTTTATATTATATATATATACAGTGGCTCACAGCTTAAAGTATGCACGTCAAACCCCTAACTTCAAACTTCCATAGTGTTAAAACTATAAGGCGTACTGCAACAAATGTGGTGTCAA